TTAATACTGTATTCGACGTAATAAGCACTCCGCTCTAATAAGCGCCCATGGCGATATTTGCTAATGCTAATATATTGGCTAGTGAACAATCACAATTAGCACCCCTTCCGATTGATAAATGAACACAAGACTTATTTATTCGTGTATAATACGTTTGTTATATGCACCCTTAATTATGGGCAATTAAATTCTGGAAACATATATCTGTCATATATAAACATTTCAGGCTGTCAGCATAAAGCATGAAATTTACTATCTTTCAACTCTGTTGTCTTTCACCAAAATAATATCCTAATAAGAGCCCCCTAATTATAATTTTGAAAGCGCTTATTATGTCCAATACAGGAGTTAAAATGTTTCCAATGTTATTGTTGGTATAGCACTTTATTCAAACAATCCAATCAATTGTAAATACCAACAAACATACTGTTTACGCTCCCTGCTCACAACCATGACCAGCTCTACTATTACAAAGCATTTTCCTGTAGCCTCATTACCCTCAAGTCTGAGGAGTCTACTGAAGTCTAAGGACAGTTTATACACATACAGGTCTAATGCAGAGTCTAATGTTGTTGTATATTCAGGTCACATACACCTCATGTGTGAACAAGCCACACACTCAACCGTATACACTGTATTGGATTAATCTCAGATCCATAGAAGGGTTCGTTCATCTGTTATATTTATATAAAAGGCAACATATATTGGTATATTTTCAGCAATTTAATTATTTCATTAATTTTCTCAAACATATGAATATACCTGTAAGTAAATTTATGCAATGACATGATGAATGAAATACAATTTAGACTATGTTATTTTCTTTTAATCACTAATATGAATTTTATAATTTTTATGGACATATATACAATATATATGTGAAGAAACCTGTGAAGATCCAGGCTATAATTGGTCTTCATGAACTCATTCTTGTCGTAAGAGGTGACTAACAGGATGGGGCGGTCAGGCTCACTGACTTGGTTGATGCATGTCATCATATCCCAATTGCATAGATCGATGCTTATTATGTCATTCACTAGATTGTCTGGTCTAACACTGCTCTGAACAATATTCCAGCTATATCACGGCGTGTCAGCTCAATGAGGGAGGAAAGCCTGAAGTGATGCAGGTCTCATACAGGGAATGGCCCTGATATACATGTACCTAGTGAGTGAGTGAGTATAGTTTGAAGCGGCTTTTAGCAATATTCCAGCAATATCACGGGAGACACCAGAAATGGGCTTCACACATTGTACCCATGTCGGGAATCGAACCCGGGTCTTTGGCGTGACAAGCGAATGCTTTAACCACTAGGCTACCTGACCGCCCCACATGTACCTAGAAACAGAATCAGGGTGAACCGGGATTCGAATCGATGATCACAGGTATCTGGCGTGCCCAAGAGACGCAACTCTGCACAGCGAACTGCAGCGGCTTAGACTACTGGGCCACTCTTGCCCCCAATTATTATTTAGTACTGAATACTTCAACAGAAGGTGTGATACATACACTACATTGATTGCACAAGTTGTCATGCCTGGACCAGCCCTTTCCAACATAACAGTGATCCTTCCAATTAAAACACCACTAAACCTACAGTACATACATACAATGACACATCAATAATTTATTGTCAGACTTCAAATAATATAACATGCCAGTTATATCAGATATTCTATCAAGCTCAAGAACAAACAACAGATATATGTTACATTACTGACAACCTCACTAATATGTGTTACCTGCGTTCAAGTTTATGCCAAGGTATATTCATGTTACACGTGTCCACTATCAAATAGTCAAACGAGTAATGTGTTGTAAACATATCAAACATAATTATTTTTTAACATCAAATCAATTTTGTTCAGAGACTTTTTGTTATAGATTTCACTGCGTAGACATAAGAATGGCAAATGCAATGTTCTGCTTAAAGTCAAAATTGAATAAATCATCCAAATAATAACCTTCTCTATCCAGACCAAATTAACTTGGAAATCACCCTACTGGGCCGTCACAGTTAACAATAATCCTGATTAACAAGGTCCAACATGGACAGTAACTGCTCAGTTGTAATAAATCCTATAAACAGGAACCTCACTCATACAAAACCTCTAGCATTTAAGAGTTGAGAACAGCCCTGAATAACAAAATCTAACATGGACCATATTCAACTGCTCATCCAGATTAATAAACATAAACATGAACCTTACTTATCAAAATCCTATTACATTATTACACAGTCGAGAACAGTCCTGATTAACAAGGTAGGACCCTGCAGGGTTCAGTTCTAATGTACTAAACAGTGTTCATTTCAACAGTAGGTTGTCAATATCTATGGAATGTTTATGACAGATGACGATAATAAAAGTATGCTTCCTTCACAAGTCAGTTTTAACTGCTCTAACAGGCATATTTTGCCCACCACCTGATGCCGATGTACTTGCAACTGTAACACTGGGAAAGAATTTGCGAATTCCTAACTGATAACAACTGTACTGTTACTGGAAAACTGCCATCACCATAAATACTGCAACCAGGGGCGATGGAGCAAAAATGATTATCTAATACCATCACACCTGTCATAATAGTTGATCAAAGGGGGGAGGTAAAGGGAATGGCGTTGTCATGTGGATTGAGGGACTGGGGGAGAGGCTTATGTAGGAGAGATACATGTTATGTGTATGTTGAGAGCCTGGGGGAGGGGCTGTTAATGAAGGGGTTGGCCTGGGGTGGGCTGATGACAAGGGATGTGTTATTAGGGATCAGCTGGCATGCTTATGTGTGATTGACAGAAACTGATTACTCTCTCAGCAAATTGACCATGCAATGTACAATGACATCACCTTCTTTGAGTGATAGGGTTAAAATTAACTTGCTTTGACACACAGTCTCAGGTTGTAAATATGAATGTTAACTGTGATCTAGTGAGCTGTAGATAAACTGTTATATGTTCAGGCAGAAGGATTGTAGGTGAACGTTTAATCAGATTGAAACTTGCAGATTAATCAAGTAGACTGAATCATTTTCCACTTACAAATAACATTTTCCACTGACTAATAACATTATCAACCAAACTGTATCTGTTCTTCCTTTACCATCAAACAATTACTATGCCAGTCAGGCAATGTGTGAGATTGACTGATTCATTTACTTATGCACATAATTCTAAATGTATTTCAATATAAAGCACTTTTTAACTGCAATAGAACACACCCTAGCAAGGCTCCCCTGATGGTGAGTGAGTGAGTGAGTATGGTTTTATGCCGCTTTTAGCAATATTCCAGCAATATCACGGCAGGGGCACACCACAAATGGGCTTCACACATTGTACCCATGTGGGGAATCAAGTCCGGGTCTCGGTGTGACGAGCGAACGCTTTAACCACTAGACTACCCCACCGCCAACTCCCCTGATGGAAGTGAACTGGTAACATAATCGTATAAAGTCAAAGGTCATGAATAAATGTGGTAAAAGCATATCTCCAGTAATTATTGTCTCTTCATACTGCTATAATCTAATTATCTGCCTGTAATGTTATTTGCGCTCGTACAACTCACATAATCTAATGACAAATACAAGAGTCCCGAAGAATTACAATAGCTGGAATGTAATCAACTCCAACAACATCTCCCAAACTGAAAGCAATCTGACACTGACATCCTTGCTTGTCAGTAACATGCTGGGATGTTTACAAAACTGCGCAATGACGCAAATAATTAAAATACCAAACGATATTTATCAAAAGTTAATTTATATTTCAAGGATTTCTTTAATCATATTTGCAACGGTTCAATGCACTGTCAATCGTGGCGATAATGATTCATTTAGAATATGGTAATCCTCAATCACTCCTGACCTTCAACTGACCATTGATATGAGGGTGTGATGGACAGTTCATTAGCATTTGTGGACATCATAACAATGATCCAGCCACAAAATAATTATCCATCGTCCAGGAGTGACCCAGATAAAAGAAATCCTATAAGACTGCTGACAGAGCATGATGATCACGATAACCTCATTGAATGGAAGTACTATCTGTCAACACAAAAGTGACAATACTTTTCAATTTCAGAATTGAAACACTTTGAAACCTGAGCTTAAAGCAGGCACAGAAACACTGAACCAATACGCTTATGTAAACATATCAAATATGGAAATCTTTAAAATAAATTATGAATTCATGGGACTTATTAGAATGTTTATTTATGTCTTAACTAGAAAATAATATTTGGAGTAGCTTATGCAACCACCCCTTCAAATCATGTCCAGTCTGAGACTTTAGCCACTAGTATGAAGCTTTTCTAGTAAAATGAATTTTGGTCTAGAAAGATCAGCTTGTACAATAACACATACCGTATTCGACGTAATAAGCGCCCCGTTCTAATAAGCACCCACGGCGATATTTGCTAATATATTGTCTAGTGAACAATTCCAATTGGCACCCCTTCTGATTGATCAATGTACACAAGACTTATTTAATCTTGTATAATACGCACTAATGTATTATGTGCATCCTTAATTATGGGCAATTAAATTCTGGGAAAATATATCTGTTGTATATAAACATTTCAGGCTGTCAGCATAAACCACTAAATTTATCCGTTAACTCTGTTTTTTTTACCAAAATAATATTCTAATAAGAGCCCCCTATTTCTAATTTGAGAGCGCCCTGGGCGCTTATTACGTCGAATACAGTACTAAGACTATGAAATAATGAATATCTTCAGGATAGAAAACTCAAGTTTGGAGCACAGACAGCATTTTTCTCATGATACTTCAGATAAGAGCATAGTTCTTCATCATCATGTTTAACTAATTCTGCAGCATGCATAAACTGTAAAAAGGGGACAATTTTTTTATCTAAAAGCACAGAGATAAACACAAGAGGAATATGTTGTTTCGTTTGTAGAAAGCTCACTCTTTCCCTATTCCATACAGTCACAATCCTCTTTCTATGCGACAAATTCCTAGGCTTATTTTCTAGGATGGTCTCTCACCTGTATCCTTGAGTCGATTTTGTTCGTACCATGCCATAGATTTTGTTGTGCCAAGCTCTGACACAACACTCTCCTCTTCCTCCACCATATATCCAAAACCATTTGACATCGCCATCGTGGCGGAATTTGTGCCACATGTGTCCTAACACTTCTCCCAGATCCGATCAGCTCCCCTCAGACATATAGTCGCTGCTTGAATGTCACGCTTAGGGAGGGAACTTCAAACCCGATGTAAACTCCCCCTCCAAACTCTCACTGCCCTAACGAGGACAGGTAGGATCCAAGTGTCCCAATTAGGGTAAATCCAAAATCCAGGTACATAAATATAGAGGACAATCTCAGGTATGAGGCGATACGTTCACTTTCAACCAATCTTCTTGTTCCAATGCTGTTCAAAAGTTACCATGTGTTTCACAGGCTATTATGCCCCGATAGGTTGCTGGCTGCTCAAACATTCAGCTGTTCTAGTTGCTTGATATTGGAATGTCATATACATGTCCGATGAACAGGACCCAGCCACGGGTTAAGAGTGTGGCAGTCGGTTGGCTGACGCACTGCATCAATGGGTAGGCCTGCTATATAAATAGCTCGCCACTCATTTGGCAAGTGGCCTGTCTGAGAGTCAGTGGAGTGGGGAGAGGTATACCTGGTTGGACGAGCTCACCAAGATAGGGGGAAGCCCATTCACTTCCGTCACTAGCAGACGATGTTTTCTTCTATTGTTGTGGTCGATCTCACAAAGGAGCCTTACTCTTAGGCAAATGGTGTTTGTTCTACAGACATAGGCATGAGTCAGAGCTGATCGTCAATCTAGAATCGCTTAGAACTCGTACCTGCAGTGCATCTGGGAGTCATGTTTCTGTTGTTTATGTTTTTTGTCTCGTGGAACTCCACGTGTATTTGGTCTACATACATACCCACGTGCTCGTGTTTGGGGAAGTTATGGGGGATTAGTGATTATTATTTTTAGCATTAAGAAATTAATAATCTTATAAACATACCTGCTATACGTATGACAGCTCTGTCTGCTGGGTCCAGCTGCAAAACACACAGTGGAAGAGACTCGTAGTCTTCCTGGAATTGGTAAAAATCCTTACAATGGTACGGTGATCGATCCATGTTTCTTGTTTTAGTATTCCTTCATGGTGTGGACTGGTCTAGTTCAACTCGCTGTAATCATGCCACATCTGCAAGATAAAGTAAACTCCTACACATTCGACATATTTTGGCAGCTAAGTTCATGTGACATGCAGAAAAATGGCTAGCAGACAGCGATATCATTACCGGCTTGGTCGTGTATTTCACTTCCGACCTTGCCTACAACTTACCATATTTTAACAACCAGGTTTGCTTTTTAAAAACAGCAACTCTCTTACCACTTGAGGCGTCCCATAATATTATTCCAGTCGAAAACCATTCCATTTTCTAAGAACATGGCCGCGAGTAGCCGAACGATTCTGTCTATGCAAACACAGTTACTTCCCTTTGAAGAACAGCTGCAAATCCCTTCTCCTCCCCATTATTGGAAATTATGTTTTAAAATTTTAGAAATAAAATGCACCGCCCGACAAAAAACATTTCTTACAATAAGCAAATCAGTAATAGAAGATATAACAACCGAAACCTTGGATCCTCTTCAATCTCAAGTATCGATAAAATCCGAATATGGTAGTTTATGAGTCAATACAACGGAGGGAGGCATACCGAATGTGGGAACAGCATTTGTTGGTCAATAATTCTCGTGTCTTCGCAACTCAGCCAATGAAATTCCAGTGAAGTGATGTCACCACGTACCGGTGCACGCGCTGCCGGTGGGATCAAAGGTACAATACCGACCGAGCTGTAGTTTATTGTCTCCCTGATTAAGCTTGTTAGGACGCATTGTTGTACCTGCTAATATGTTAAAGGAACAGGTAATTTAATGCGGAAAACAGCGATACATTTCCGTAAACAAATGTGAACCGAGAGTGATCGTTCCCGTAACACGCTGAAATGAGTGATGATTTATCATTTTCCCCACCCATGAAATCGACAACGTGTACGACTTGTTTTCATCGTTTTTCTGGTGTCATTCTGATGATTCAATATTTGTCATTTTGATTGTAGTCATGATTACCATTCCAACGGCCAACTCCCAACTAACCATGTGGAAGAAAAGTCCAAATGTTGCAATTTGGGGAAAGCGATTTAATGAACGGATTATCTGTTAAAAGGATTATGACCCGAATGGTTTGAACGTTTCATGAAAGTAAGCGACCACTAACACACACACACACACCACATCCCCTCCCCGTTTCTCCGCCAAAATATTTCTAAAAAAATCATTAAATTATAACTTGCACCCGTTCTTGCACCTGCAAATCTCACAAGTCATTACAATAAGCTCATGCTGTAGTTTCTAATGAACATGTATTTGAGGATGATTTATTTGATCGTTTGTTTGGAAAGGATCGTCAAATGAAAAAGTTAGAAGTTTACTTGTCAAAATCTGACTCACTGTTTTATCGAGGTGTGTATACATGATTGGTTGAGCTTTCACAAATTTCCTAGAACTGCTTGTCTGTTTTGTGAATAGACTAATGACACCCTTCGGCGTGGCATACTTGTCCGCATAGCAATTTCAATGAAACATACATCTCAGTTTGTTGACACCTGACATGGTGTGAAATACAAGTGATGGACGGCGTGATAGCAACATAGTTGAAATGTACATTTCGCGAGGCGATATAGACAGTTATACACGAAGGTCAAGGACAGTCGAAAGACTCATGCAATATACCCCCAAATTATCAACGATAGATCAGATATCCTTTCATAACATATTTATTCGACATTTATGGTTACCAATTTCTCAGATTAATTGACGCCTATAACCCTTATACATTTTAACGGTACTTTTCATGTGCAATTTTCACATTGGGTAGAAATAACACGCACTACTCATGCAGACTGAAGTGTGAATTCGGCACTTTGCAGCCGTTAATGCTCTTGTTGCTATACGCTTACTTCCTGTGGTAAATTCGGCCGATGCTTATGCGAGATGAAACACGACACATGGAGGACACGCCCACTTAAGTGCCGTGAAACAAAAATGCAATGAATCATAACACTGACGTTTCATTTTCATCTATTTTCAAAACAGTTAACCTTTCCGGTGGAGTTTGATGTCATTAATGAAATAAATCCTGATGTAGATAACTATCAAAATAAAAAAGCAGAGTAAACTGAAACTGAAAACTGAGATCCAATTTCTCTTAGTTGAAATGGACATGACATGTACAATACAGAAATAGACATGTATTCATATCACGTTACACATGCGTTACTTACGTGACAGTACCGATATGCATTACTGTATGAAATGAGTGAAACACACGCTCGGGACTGTCCATGCCTGTCCAAAGGTGCATTAGATATAAATAGCCCTAATCATTTGCAAATATGGTTTATATGTATCCCACGATATTTGATAAATCACCACATCATTCGCTTGAACATTTCCGATTGCGATATCTTACACTCTAAAAGGCGCGGGCATCCTGAGGCGTGTATTTGTTGATAGTTGATGATTGATATGGATTAGCCAATCACGTTAAATTGAAAGCGGATATTGTGATGCACTGCCATTATCAGCTGATAACACAATTTTTATCGTTCAAATGTTATGTAATATTTTTATCACAACTCGATTGGTAGATTACTTATCTTTATCGTTTTATATAATTAAAAGTCTAATACAGAAGCGTTATTGAAAAAGCCCATTATTTCACACAAGACTGATATTTAAAGTTAACTCGTGAAGTTGCAGACCAGGTCGTGAGCTGAAAGGTACGGTCTAAGGGAGATAACTCGTGAGGTCTTGGCGTCCAAAGATGTCCGAATCAAGAATGACCAACAATACGGTATATTATGTACCGCTAATTGTGGTGTTGGTGGGCAAATGTTCTTCTCACGATCTCACTTAGCGTTTATTAATTTCTTGTAACAAAAACAAACAAAAAACAAAAAAATATGTTGGGGCCCGGTTAAGGTGAAGGAGGCTCCCAGTTCGGGGTATACAAAATCATACCTGTTCCTTCCATGAGGTCGTTGAGATGTGTAAACATTATATTCTATATCAGTTTTAAGATTAAGACCAGCTATAACTAACGTCCTCTGTCAGAAGTGCATTCATGTTTGTGGGTTGGGGTCACGAGACCGGGTGGCGAGCGCATTTGCTCACTGCGTACAATAAGGGATTCAGCTCCAAATAACGATACGGGTCAGCCATTAATTCTTTGTACTATATTTCGGAAACAAATAATTCCGTGCAAAGAGCTATATTAATATAATGAGACAAATTACTATAAATTCTAACATTTTAATTAGCTACTACCATTTCACTACTTCAAGAATTGGTCTACAGCCCTCACAGCGATGTGTGTTGCTACCGCAACATCAACCCGCCAAAAGAGCGAGGAGTCGATATTGACAACAATCGCTCTTTATGTCTTTGATGTTTCCCGTTGATTGACAGATCCAGAGTTCCCATGACAGGTCTCGTGACCCAGGTCATGTACATTTCGTCTAGCAGGTGCCCGCCTACACAGCGCGTCCCTGAATAGGACGTTTCAGAATAAACTGTTAGGTGGAAGAAAGTGTGAACGTTTCAACCAGTCGTTTTGTAATGTAATGGTCTCGTAAAGAATTACCTTGTCACTTAAACATTTCAACCCTTTTATACCAACAATTGTTACATTTGCGTACTCACGAAATACAGCATTTCAGAGAGAAGCAAGTTATACTTAACGTTTCCATGACAACCTATGCTACAGATGACACACAAAGCCGGGTGTGCTATCCATAAAGATTGTAAACTTTATGAAAACAAACCTCTCCTAATATATTTATTAAATGTAGCAATTATCAAGGGCGGTTATAATTTTCAGCAAGATGATAAGTGCATTTTGTGACGAGACAAATCGCGTTTGGTAATCATGTCATTTTGTTAAAAATATATCACATGAGTTGATCATATAAATTTTACTGGTATATATTTACTTTTTATATACCCGTTTACCTATAAGATTGTTTACTATGTTATAGAAAGGGTTATACGCAGTTTTGCACCCGCTTCTGATCTGCGTCTGATTATTTTCACAAAACATGCACCGTGCTATACATCCTATGCTACATTGTTCAATATCTTGTATTATTATTTTCAAATATTTTTGACACAATTTCTCAGTTACTTGGACCTTGCAATAATATTTATCATAACTAAGATATACATAATGATATAACTAAAATAACATTCGCTAAATAAGATATGCTTTTTTTTATATTTCTGCTGACACTGGAGAGGTGAAGGAGGGGCTTGGGGGGTCACGGGTTTCCCAGGGCAACAAGCACGTCTTTGGTCCTCGCAACTACACTCAGAAGTCATTAGCTGGAGTGGCAAAAAGCAGCCTGGGGCTCTCAAAATAATTTAATTCACATAAAAAAACTTCACATGTATTGTCGATATGTGTATTCTTGTTGGGAACGAGATCTTTGGAGATAAGCTTGCTCGTAAAA